TATATATATTATATATATATATATATATTATATATATATATATATATTTATATATATATATATAGATTATTTGTATTTTTATCTCACCGTTAATGCTAGCACGACATCACTACCGGCGCGGATGAACTCTCTGTACTGTTGCTTAACTAGATCAGGGTGTTCCAGAACTACTTCAGGGACAAATGCTCCAGCCTTCAGATAACAACGACGTTGAAAGACAAGCAAGTAACCCTCTGCGACTATTATTTGTTCGCCATTTTTCAAGCGCTCCACAAGCCCTGAAACGAATTCAAGATTTCAAAATAAATAGAATTGCTTAATAGCGTATAATCCATGTGGTTTGACGACCTCATCATGGCGTATTATTTTCAAAATTTTAAATCTGAGAGTGCCATTTCCGGCATTTGAAAACGAAAAATTGATATTGGTAGATATTTTTGCAATGTTTTCGTATCGGAGATCATACAAGCCAAGGGTCCACTTTCCACTAAAACAAACCTCCCAAAAATTAAGTCACGCTACCGGGCCTGAAATCCCTACCTGGGCCCCATATTATTTCAAATTCCTGGACCCGCTACTGTCTCCATATTCATATTTTAGACTGATTGGACCATTGTGTAAAAAAAGGAAATCCTTGCCGATCGAGGCGCGTGGCTCATTAATCCCGAGCACCTGTAACGCGAAGCGAATGAGAGTGTGATATTCCCCTTGGGTAAGACGCCAGGGTCGGATGCAGTAGGGGAAGACTCCCCCCACCCCGTTTTGCCACTAAATTTTAAAATGTCAAGGCATATATTGAAATTAGCGCTCTCGCTTAGGCTCTATCTATGGATGTGTTGTACCCCCCCCACCCCCTTGTTTGAAAAATTCTGGATCCGCCCATGGACGTAGTCACCGCGGAACCTTTCTTGGAGAGTTTACAGGATCATGATGTAAAACATGCCTGTACCTACGGGGCGCCCATATGTACCTACCTTTTTTTAACTTCTTTGTTTGGCCTGCAGTTGTTTCCATCATGAACAAACCGGTGAACCTGCCACACTACTATCGTCGTCGATGTGATTTCATGTACTGTAGTTCAAAGCGTTTTGTCTGCGCTGCATATCATGCATATGAACGTCGATAAAGATCAATTGAGGGGCAATGTAATAGGTATCCAAATTTGCTTTGATGATTCCCATACGTCCCTGGCAAAGAGCTATTTTATCAGGTAGTCGACAATTTCTAGCATAAACCAGTTAGTGACCAGTGATGCAAATCAAATTGATAGTTATAGGAAATATGCTAGATTTTATGCCAAAATGTCACAGTTTGCTTAAATTTTGGGCATCAAACTCCAGGAAAACACCAGGACGCTCCCTTCATCCCCACCCTCCCCACTTAAATTGAAACTATTTTGTCCAGTGGTTCCGCAGGATCCACTGGAGGTCAGGGGCGAGGGGTGGGGTGACCCTGTATCGTCATCAGTGTTTTATTATTGTTTACAAACCTGAATCTGTTTATACCTATACAAAAACAACACTTTTCGACAATAATTTCGTGTTGTGTTCAGTGAAGGGTCGTTTATTTGAGTAGTATGTCAATTTATAACAACAAAAGTATTCTTCTCACTCGAAAAAATAAAAAATCCCTTTAAAAATAAAAAAATATATATATATATATATATATATATATATGGTAGGCCTATGTATTGTGAGGAACAGATGGGAGTGCATCAGTGTAGGCTATAACAGCCCTGTAATACAGTATTGAGTGTGTCATTGGTGTGTCGTGAATCATAATCATATACCTCTTGTGTTGTGAATTGTTTGCGTGCTGTGAAGTTGCTGGTAGGAAATTGGAGGTTTGTATTGTTTTTTTCCAGTTAAATATATGTTTAAACGTAAATAAATTGTCTTATGTTTTGTATGAGGAAAATATATATGTTATAGAATGTAAATACTTTCTCTAAATAATAATTATGGTTACTATGCTTAAGCCGAGTGCTAGGCCTGGTATGCATATCCTTTTATTTTAGGCGTGTGGAGAGGAAGGGTGCAGGTCAACTCGGCCACATTCAACTCGGTCACAAGTCAACTCGGCCACAAGTCAACTCGGCCACAAATAGTTCGGCTACAGCCAACTCGGCCACAAGTCAACTCAGCCACAAGTCAACTCGGCCACAAGTCAACTCGGCCATAAGTTATTTAATGTAAATCTCAGTTTTTGCATCCTTTTTCTTCAATATATGATTGAAATAAAGTACACAGTATATTTTAGTAAAACAGGACTACCACACTACCAAAAGAGATTTGAATGCTATTGCCTATGAATTAAAAAGAGTTATTTATTAATGTGTTCATCTTCTGTTTACTCACAACATTCTACTTCAACAATAATATTAAACAACAATAACGACAATAAATTAGTAATATTTACATTAATAATACTAATTAGTCATTA